ACCAACATATCAGAGAACACAAAAACCAGATTACATTGGCAACAATTAAAAAAAAAACATTATCTTATAAAGCTTTTAATTAACAACCTCCTGCAAAGGACGAGGAGGGAGTGAGTCCTGCAACTGCTTGAGAAGAGAAATATAAGCCTGAGGAAGAACATCAGCACGAGTGGATAAATACTGCCCCATCTTCACCCACAACCCTTCCAACTCCACAATCAAATTCAACACTCTCTTAGCATTACGTTCATGAGCTTTCTCCCACAAAGCAGGAACTCTAGACTTCTTAATCCACTTCTCTCTCTGCTGTACACCCTTCACTCCCCCACACAACAACAAATAAAGTTAACACCTTTCAATAACACTAAAAACAATCAAAACAAGAAAAATAAAAAGAAAAAAGATTACCTTGTAATCAAAGTAAATGATTATAGCTACAGAGAAGACTTTCATCCTCCTTCTGTAAATGTTTCCCCAACCCATTGACACAAACTTACTCCACACTCTCTGGATACTCGCTAGAAACGATAAGACTACTAACCACCACCGATTATTCTACATAATCAAAAATCACAAAGGTGAGACCTTTTCGATTGTAAATTCGAAATTACGAAATTGGTTTAGAGAAAAACTCAAACCCAGATCGTAAAATTGAGAAATTGACAAGCAAAAAGGAAAAAAGAAAAAAATTACCTGGAAAGAACCAGAATTGTTTCCGTGAAATCGCGAGTTACGCATATAAAATCAGATTTGCGAATTGTGAATTAGAATATATATATCCTTTTGGAATAAGTAGGTGATAAGCTTTTAACGTAAGTGTTAAGTTTTTTTACTAGAAAGACGCGTCAGGCTTTTATTTATTATTTTCTGGCGTTGAGAGTTTGAGATTAGGAAAAAGAAAGGGCTAATTGGCGAAATAGCCATGTATGGCATATAAATTAGGGAACTAGACATGATTTTGACGTAATTTAATGTTAGCTATTTTGCCTCGTTTTCAACCGGTTATACCCTTGAAAGGAAGAGGTTACCGGTTCATATTATAAAGTAAACAACGTGTTCTTTTTCTATGGTATAATAGTAATAAAAAAACTATTGTAACG